GTGGTATTTATAATGTGGAACCCTTTTTGCGTCCTTAACGATAAACAGATAATTCGCATCCTTTCGATTTATAAATACCTATTATCCAAACGGATGGATAGTTCAAATGTTTGCTATCTAAATGTACATTATAAACGGCCGACTTTATTCGTAAATTTCTAACGCAAGAAGTCAAAATTGCAGTTTCCTATACGTTAGATGCGTATCATTTTGACGCCACCAAATAGCCCCTAGCCCCTATCGGGTTTTTTCCCTGCCCACTCCTGTTCTAGTTATAGGGAACCTACCTCCGAGATGGAATTATAGGTTAGAATGAGGGTCCTCGCACCTGTCTCCTGAAATTACAATTTCCTACCCTATACCTATATGTCACATCAATCTAATAGAGGGAGTCGGTTGAAAATATACCTCTATATGCATTACGACGCCAATAGATGGCACCTCCGTACCATTTAATATATCTATGATTTAATAATATTTAGAGGTTCGTTATAAATACAACTATCGAAGCATTATATCATACAAGTCTAGTTAGCCTAGTGGTTATGCTATAGGACTTGTAATCCGATGGTTGGCGGTTCGAATCCGTTCCATTTAAAAAAATTTTCAGGAGGTTCGATATAAATACAACTATCCAAGCATTATATCATACAAGTCTAATTAGCTCAGTGGTTATGCTATAGGACTTGTAATCCAATGGTTGACGGTTCGAATCCGTTCCATTTAACAAATTAACAAATTTTTCAGGGTACGAAGGGGTCGAAGTTTGAGGATTCCAAGATGGCGTCCAAGATGGCGTCCAAGAACTTGAGGATTCCAAGAACTTGAGGATTCCAAGAACTTGAGGATTCCAGAACTTGAGGATTCCAAGAACTTGAGGATTCCAAGAACTTGAGGATTCCAAGATGGCGTCCAAATGACGCCTGCGCAGACGCCTGCGCAAAGGGGCGGGGCGCGCATGCGCACATCCAAACTGCTCCAAAAACACCCAAATGAACCTTAGAATTCCTTATGGGAAATTACATGTAATTTCGACCAAAAGTGGGCTCGAACCCGTGCAGCTCCTTTACTATGATGATTACAAATGATGGGCATGATGCTGACTATTCGGACAATTTTTTCGAAAGGATGTAGTAACCGCTATCTATTTTGCAGGAAAAGCGCAAAAAGTGCAGTTTCAAAGAAAAATGCATCAGCATCGATCACATCTTTTCTAAAAAATGTATGTAAAATTGTAGATTCGTTTAGCTGAAATTATTGGTTGAATAATCGATCGAGAATCGTTAATAAGAGACAATTTATTATTTGAATAGATAAGCAAGAAGACCGCGAAATCGGTGATGCATTGTCTAAGGAAGCTCTACACAGGAAGCCTTATCAACCGCAATTTGCTCAACATCCGTATCTTTGACCATCATCTCAATCATACACGCATCTATAATCCGCTAAGTAGTTGCTAAAAATTAAATCGAAGTAAGCATTAGGATGGAGGTTTTTCAAAACGCAAAAATATATCCTTAATAGGTGGGTCATGTAGATAACGTTGATTTAAGTAGGGACGCATTTGACGAATTAGGCGTACAGAACTGATTATTTCGGGGTTTTTTAGAGGAGAAATAATGAAAGGCGCGTTTACGGGGTTCGTATAAATTTAGAAGATACGCAGTAGAGAATATCCTTGACGAGTAAACTATTGCTAATTGCGAAATGAATACCTACTGTAGACATCGTAAGCGTGTTTCGGAAGTTATCGCAATGTGAGTGTTGTATATTCAACCACTATTCATATCCTCCCGCATTCTCTATATAAATACTTGTATGCATGCTGCGTAATGCAGTTCATATTTAAAATCATACTGCCAAACCCGCTAATACTAAAGTCGAAATGGATTTATTGGCTGTTTATATCGAAATTCAGAAAAACCAATTACAACCTATACTGGCGAGGGTGATTGCTGAAGAAGAAGCTGCGAAACCTCAACCTAATTTTCGCAGTAGGGAAATTTTTGATGAAGAATTGATGGCTATCGAGCTAGCTAAGGTGGAAATTATCATGAATAAACCACTGTATGTGGGAATGGCTATTCTCGATATTTCTAAAACCTTAATGTATGATTTCCACAATTTTACGCAGCGGTAATGATTACATGAAACTCTTGTACATGAATACCGATAGCCTCGTATATGAGTTAATGTGTGATGACGTGTATGATCTGATTCGAAACAATATCGAGCGATTTGACACGTCTGATTTTGTAGAAAACAATGAATTTAACATTCCCAGATGTAATGCTAAGGTGCTTTGGCATCAAAAATGTATAGCTTTAGGACTAGGGATTGTGATATTAAGAAATTAAAAGGTGTAAAGACTAATATTGTAAAGAATAGAATAAGTTTTAATGATTATTTAAAGTGTTTTTATTTTTCACTTTACTGTAATTCAATGGTAACTCCTTGGATACGGGATACGTAAACAAGTCCATAACAACCAGGGCGTAATGAGAGGGCGTAATGAATTCATCGTAATGAATTCATTACGCCCTCAAAATAGGTTAATTATATTCGTTCAATTTTTTTTATTAAGCCAAACTAAATACTTGTAATACAAAAGAAAGCACAATTACCCGCCAATATGAAAATTACAATTTTCAAACTTTCCCGAAAATGTAATATTTTTGTTAGAAAGGCCAGGGACGTTTATATTTTTATCTGATATGGATGACGACAGTTCCAAGTGATCATCTGAATATGATGTAAGGTTAACATTATTCGAGGTTTCGGCTCCAGATGAACCCACCGCGCTTGCAATAATGCTAGATATCCGATTTTTGGAAATTAGGCTATCTTCTACGTAACTCTGCGCAACCGTGTTACTCTTCCACTTGCCGTGCATTTTTAGGGTTTCAAAACTTGCTCCTGCTTCAACCAAAAGAGTGGCTGACGTTCGTCTCAAGCAGTGACCGGTAAATTGATGAGGGTTATCTAACTTTAAGTATTTGGCAATTATATTTGGGACACTTCCTATGGTGTTTTTTCCGACAGGTTGCACTGTGCAACAACCTTTCCTATATGTGAGGAAAAATCGGCGTTCTTTCGTATGCTTTGGTCTTAGTGCTAGGTATTGTCGAACTAACTTAAGAGCATTTATTTCTTCTTCCTCCACGATTGTAAAACCTTTAGACGTACCTGTTTTAATCTCTGGCACGTTTACAATTACAACAGATCCTTTATCGGTGATATCGTCAATACACATTTTGACCATTTCATCCCTTCGTAATCCACCAAAAACACCCATCACCAAAACTACTTTATGCAAAAGATAAATATCGTTAGGGGCACGTTTGATAAACTCAAAAACTTGATCTCCTGTTAAAACCTGTGATTTTTTTGGTTTATATCCCTTCGATTTGACTTTTAAAAAGTAAATTAGTTGATTATAATTTGAAATGTCAGTTTTCTTTTTAACTATGAGTTGATTTCAAAAGAGAGTATTTGGTCCATAGCGACGTAGGAGTGTATTTCTCAGATTAAACAAAATGTATTATCAATAATTTTGCATATTTAGGTAGGTATATGTAAAACTTACCAGTTCCTGAAAGTACGACAATAGCACGGTCTCATTTATAGTAAATATTTTATGTTTTGAATGCCAAGCTGTAAATGTTTCGAGTTCTTTTTCGTACTTCTCCTTTGATTTAAGGGGTAGCAAAGTTTCTGTTGCCTTTGGCGTACTTTCTTGAACAAATTTTGGTAGCGTATTCATCTTTATTGCAATTGGAAAGCAAACTTGACGTTTCTAAGTAAATAGTTTATTTTGTTTCATAGACTACCATATTATTTTATTGTATTTACGGAAAGAACGCGTTTGCCTCAGCGAAAGCAAGTAACTAATTCTGGATTGTTTTTTAAGAATAAAGTGAAAAATAAAATCTTGTATGCACCACGGCGACGTTACCAGATGATTACGCCCATCGAACGATATCCAGCTCTCGGGCTAAAGCCCTCGAGCTGGATTCCATCGTTCTCCGGGCGTAATCATCCTAGTAACGCCCTTGGTGCATAAATAGCTAAAAGAACCAGGACGTTAAAATCGTTTCCCAAAGCAGCATAATTTCAAAAAACCATAAAGTGTATAGCGTAGAGCAAACTAAAATTGCTTTATACAATAACGATGATAAGAGATATACACTGCCGAATCAGATCGATACGCTGCCTTGGGGACATTTTAACATTCCCATTCAAATGGAATTAGAATAAGTAGTCTATTCATAACATTGTATTGATTAATATAAGTATAAAAATTGTACAGTTAGTTAGTTATATACAGTTATAGCATGGCTGTTGGTACCTCCTGAAAGTAGTAATGATTAGATTTTAAAACTCTTAACTATAGTCACTTACGGCCCTACTCGCGAGTACACTAGGCCTAGGCCCTCAGGAGTGTTGCTGCCAAACACCCAAATGTAGTGGTCACCAAAGAATGGTTCGATAAATAGGAGCACGTCCCGACTCTCGTTGTAATTAAGGGTGTGCGAACATGGGCACATGAATCTATAACTCTATTATTACAATAGCAATCATTTAATCAATTTTAAAAAGAAAACTTACCGGCGGCACGTACTCCTGTACGTAATTGTACAACCACTGACATTTGATCATGGGTTCCATGATTACTATTGAATATTATCGGTTATGAATTGTATTTATATGCAAAAAGTCGCATTGAATTTCTCAGATCACCTTCTTTTTATCGCTCCTACACTAGGTCGTCGGAAACTTATATCTCTTACGCCAGGTCGTAGGAAACTGTTATCTCCTTTACCTAGAGCTACATGCATGTATCCCATGCAATGTGATTTATAACATCAATAACATTTTGAAGAATTTATCGATGTCCTTAACACATCCCTTTAATGAATAATAATAATGTCATTGTTGTTATCTACATTTATTTATCAATATGTTTGTAAAATACATTCGTATAATAAATCTAATAAAGATTATACTAAATCTGATTTTTTAATCCACGAGTCATGTGATTTATACATGCCAAGCCATCGAACGTAGAGCTGGTCTCCTTTACGACGTAACACTTTCTCAACAAGAAATATATCCGGATGAGCAGTTTTCTGCATTTCTTCAGCGTAGAATTGTCTCATTATTGGTTTACCAAATGAATCCTCCAATAAGTACGTAACGGGATTGCCAACTTTTACTTTAACCACCTTGAATAATTCGGTAGAAAAGTTCGGAGTGTAGCCTTTTGAAAACACCGATTTATACTTGGATATTCGTACAAAGTCACCAATTTTGAATTTAGCTGGTCCCATTATCTTTATATTATGGAACATTGGTAAGTATGTCTTTGCAGCTACATCTTTAGGCTTCATCTTAATAGTCGAATGTCTTGTATTATTATAGCCTAAAGTCACTTCCGCTAGCACATCAATCTTCTTATATCTTCCGCGAAGACTGAACCGCTTATATAATGCATTTTTTAGAGTTTTTGTCACTCTTTCAACTATGGCCGCTTTCTTTACGCTATACGTAATGATTGATGGCATGTTTCAGCATTAACTTTTCAAAATCCTTATTATAGAATTCTTTTCCTTGATCGGTTTGTAAATTGACTGGCACTCTTCCTTCGCATATAATAGCGGTCATGTTTTTGCTCACTTCACTCGCATTCTTCGATTTTAGGGGTTGCGTCCATAGGTATTTGGAATAGCAATCAATTACGGTTAATACATATTTATAGCCTCGATTGTCTTTAGAATATCGCGTGAATTCGGCCAAATCAGCTTGCCAAAGGTCATCACGATGCTTGATTATCGTTCTTTTTCGCGGAAAATTTTTTCTCGCCGATCTGTGCAATTCCTCGACGACGCCGAGCTTCGTCATCTTCCAAATCACTACCGATAAATGGCGTATTTTTGGTGCGTCGAGGCGTTGCAAATTGTTGATTCATATTCAATTTTATTTTCAACTTTTGGCGTTAACGCTTGTTTATTCAACTCCTGCTTAGCTAGTGTCTTCAATGGGTCAACTATGGGCTCTTCCACTAATCGCAATGTTTCAGTGTCGCCTCTTTTAAGAGCCGCAAGCTTGTGTTTTATTTCGCTACGAGTTTTATATAGTTCCAATGAGAAGTCTTACTCAAACGGAAATCTAGGATAGATGTAATAAACTGCGACAGTGCGCAACGAGAACCTATGTGATGGTGGTTGTAGCAAGTCGCATCCAAATCTAGAAGGGCCGTCTCTTCATCTACTTCCACCACCTCCTGGCATAGGATCTTCCTGATGATCTCTGCTTGACTGCACTCTTCAGAAGGTCGGGAAACAGGTGTGGTGGAATGTGACCATCCTCCCACCTTAACCCATGGTAATTGTAGAACAGCCATCTCGCCTGTCGTTGATGCTCTACCTCCAAATCATCCCATGGGCAAGGTGGCTTGAAGACATAGTGTGCGACTTGCTTACCATTGTAGATAGCGAGTTCCTTCTGTTGGAAGGTAGAGGTGTGGAACCCTATCGATGACAACCACCATCTTGATGGAAACTAAATTGGAAATTCGGATGATATCATCTAAACTGAAACGCATATTTATACCCATTTCATTTGATCACGTTGTGTTTTTAGCGCATTTTTGCAAAAATTTTTTTTTGTAAAAAGTAGCTTTTAATCTCACTTTGGCTGGCTGGCTGGCTGGCTGGCTGGCTGGCAGCAAATGTGGGCGCGTAGAAGAACTCTTGTAGAAAGGCAACGGGTGTACGTGTATCTACAGGGCCGTGAAATTTGTCAACCTTAAGGACATGGCTACATGATGTGGGGTTGGCGACATCTGGGCGTCATCCTCGAGCGTAGTATACTAACGTGAAGGTTTTTCAGTTTTTTCCTATCTTCTACTACAGTTTTGGTCCGATTCTTTTGAAATTGGTGGCGTCGGAAAGATGTTGTAAACGCGCACAACTCCTGCGTGGCGGAATTTTTGTTTTTTGTCATAGGGGCGAAATTAACGACCTTTTGCGAGGCGGCGCGCGCGTCTTCGAAAGTAGTCAGGCGCCTTTTAANGGACGTCGGAAGTGGGTACCGTAAAAGGGAATGTGGTAGCCCCCGCCACGATCTCACTGATGGTGGAGTCAAATCTTCAATCGCGAATTGCGGGTGAACGGGACGTCGGAAGGGGGTACCGTCAAAGGAAATGTGGTAGCCCCCGACACGATTTTCCTGATGGTGGAGTCAAATCTTTAAACGCGAATTGCTGGTGAACGGGACGTCGGAAGGAGGTACCGTCAAAGGGAATGTGGTAGCCCCCGACACGATCTTCCTGATGGTGGAGTCAAATTTTCAAACGCGAATTGCGGGTGAACGGGACGTCGGAAGTGGGTACCGTAAACGGGAATGTGGTAGCCCGCGACACGATCTTCCTGATGGTGGAGTCAAATCTTCAAACGCGAATTGCGGGTGAACGGGACGTCGGAAGGGGGTACCGTCAAAGGGAATGTGGTAGCCCCCGACACGATCTTACTGATGGTGGAGTCAAATCTTTAAAAGCGAATTGCGGGTGCACGAGGAAAGTGGGAAGCGGTTAGTGAATGTAGTAGCCTTCGACAAGATCTGTTATTGATGGTTGAGTCGAAAGTGGCTAATAGAATACTGATCTGCCACACAAAAATGCGCTGAAGTCCCTTCCATCTCAAACGAGGACTTTGATAATTTTTTTCTATTGTAAAACCTCAATCTGAAAATATTTGCTTCGAAATTCATAATTTTTCCATCTGAAGACCTCAATTTCGAAAAAATAATTGGTCATATATCGAATACAAACACCACTAATTAGAAAATATTATTACTATATCGATAACACTACAACCATTCAATGAATAGAGTAAAACCGCAAAGTGTGTGTTTTGTATCATTAGGGTTGTTTTTTCTAATGTTACCAAGCCAACACAACATCTAGAATAAAATCAGAACCACAAGCTACAAAGTTATAAATGTACATTTTATTAAATAAAGGTGTAAAATTCAGTACGCATAAACGGGGTGGGACGTTCATGCATCAGCGCTAAGTACAAAGCGCAATGATTTCGTGTACAATTTTTCCCTAGTTGCGATTGCATTTTGTAGTGGGGGTTGCCGGTTGTGTTTAGGGGTTGTAGTATTAGTTTGAGGGTTGATAGATATGCATACGGTCGAAAAAAAGCATGCCGTATATACAATAAAAAAACAAAGTTGTATTAAGTCCTCACGATGACAAACGGGTCATATGCGTCAATCGTATCGACACTCTAGAAATGTACGTGAAACTAATATTAGGTTACTTATAGAGAGAAAAATTGCACTGGATAGGTTAGTAAAGTCAATATCCTGTAACGTTAATAATTGTAGTAGTAGCAGCATTATTGATAACTTACCGTTTCATGTGAAAGAATGTGTAATTAATTTACTCAAGTCTTCTACGTATAACGATATTTTATACGTTATAAATGTAAGTATTTGCAAATCTGCAGAATACGCCAATGTTGATGCCCTAACAAAATTTATTAATGTGTGCATAGAAAAAGGAATCGAGTACAGATTTAACCCGCATGAAGATAATCGTCATCACAAGATATATAAATGGATATTGGAAAATATCCGGAAAGGTGAAGATAATCCTGATGCACTGCTCGGTTGGATATAGCATCCTTGGTATGGTGAATTACAATAATAAAAAAGTAAATGTATGAGTTTTATTTTTTTCCAGACGATACCAATAGATAATAAGCTTATGGAACTATATTACAGGGTGCGGCAAAGCCGACTAAGCAGTTTTGAGGAGCAATAAAAAACAATTCTTTATATTTAGAGACAATGTATTTAAATAATCTGAATTAGTAGTACATACCATTTTACATCCACTTATGTTTTAAAAATAATGTCGCTAAGATGGCGGCCGTTGGCATCAACACATTGTTGTAAGCGATGTCTGAAGTTCTCTGTAGCTCTTGCACAAATGTCTCGGGGTATGGCGTTCACTTCTTCAATAATCCTTTGTCTTAGCTCTGCTATGGTGTGGGGTCGTCTCTTGAACACCTTTTCTTTTAGATACCCCCAAAGAAAGTAATCACAGATGCTCAAATCTGGTGAGCGTGCAGGCCACCCGACATCACCCCTCAAAGAGACGAGACGTTCAGGAAAGATTTCTCTCAAAACATGAAGTGAAGCTCGAGCAGTGTGAGCTGTAGCCCCATCCTGTTGGAACCACAAGTCCCCCAATTCATGTTCTTCAACAATTTCATTCATCCTGGGTTGCAGGAAATTTTGCAACATTGCAACATAACGTGCGGAATTAACAGTCACGGTAACGCCTTCCTCCTCAAAAAAGTAGGGGCCTATCACGCCAAACTGAGATACGGCACACCACACCGTCACTTTGGAAGAATGAAGCGGTCTTTCATGAACAATTTGAGGGTTATTTTCAGACCAGTAGCGAAAATTTTGTTTATTTACATACCCGTTGAGGTGGAAATGAGCCTCGTCGCTACTGAAGAAAGCTGCATTTGGATGGATGGCTGCAAGCATTTGCTCACACAGATTGCGACGGCTGACATAGTCATCTGGGCGCAATTCTTGAGCAAACATTATTTTGTAGGGATGAAACTTCAAATCAAATTTCAGAATCCTCCTCAAACTGCGATCCGACATCCCCAATGCGATAGCATGTCTTCGAGCAGAACGTGTCGGCGAATTTTGAACAGCTGTTCTCACCTGTACAACATTTTCTGGCGTTCTGACGTTTTTGAATCGGCCATGTTTATTTCCTCTTAATGTGTTTCCAGTTTCCTCCAATCGCCGAACCCAAGATCGAATCGTGTTTGCATTTGGAACATTGTCATTGCGCGGAATGTTAAACTGTCGCCGGAAAGCGCGCTGTGTAGCGATCACAGATCGGTTGTTTTCGTAATAAGCCCGCACGGCAAAACCACGATGTACACCGGTCCAAACCATGTTGCCTACTAAATGGGGTCAACAACCAAACAAAGGAATACCGGTTGCAGCTGCCTACCCCCACCACACTCTGAGCGGTAATCGATCGATACTGCGTAGTCGGCTTTGCCGCACCCTGTATTTTTATCAATCCACGTACAAGATGGGAGTTTCGGTTCCTATCCATTAAAGTCACTGTATATCCATTTAAAATATGACTATTGAAGTATCCAACCCCCCATCTAAACATATCTAAAATCCTACTCTACCTCTAAACTTAACCTACAACCCCATATCTTTCTCGTCAACCTCTAAACTTAACCTACAACCCCTATCTTTATTATGTTATCAAAAATCTCTAAACCTTCCCCATATAGTTTTATTCGTTGAAGTTTTTAAAAATAACAGCGACTAT